TCGAGTCGATTCCAATTCATAGCGACCGTATAGGACAGAGGAGAACTGCCCCATAGGGTTTCCAAGGAGTGGCTGGTAGATACGAACTGCTGACCTTTTGGTTAGCAGCTGAGCTCCTAACCACTGCATTCTGGTTGTCCACAGGGCAGACAGAGAGAGTCAAATGACAGGGAAGAAGCGTGTAGGGAAACCACAGACTTAAATTATTTTATAAATCAAATCAAGGGGTTTTCCAAGGGAAATTTTACATAGTCCATTTAGTAACGATGTTCTATATCTGGTAAGATTTCCAGAAATGAGGATTCCATAAGCTCCCCCAGTGATGAACTGTCAGAAACCATAACGTATTTCCGCCAAGGCCTTTTGCTAGAGTTCAAATACAGTTCCCTATGAAGAACAAGAACATAGCAAAACTATAATAATATAATATGTCCCTAAATAGTGACTAACTCCACCTGTGAGCCTTATGTTTTCAAAATCTTCTCTCAATTGTTTCATACTACAATTAATTGTTGTTGCTGCCCGACCCTTGACCTACTCGAAATTCTTCCCATTTCTCTAAAAACATGGAGTTCCTAACAGAACACAACACTTTTGTGATGATTGTTCCCAACTCTTTCAAAAACTATTTGGTTGTCTGTTATGGGCCAATTACTGTTCTAGGCACTAGAGAGAGACAGCAGAGAACAAGGCAAAGTGCTGGCTGTTAAGGAGCTTGCCTACTGCTAGGGTAGGAGGAGGAGAAATGGAATGGGGGAAGACAAGGAAACAAGATAAGCTTAGAGGGTAATAATTGCTCCAAAGAAGGCTAAAGAGTAATGGCATCAAGGGAGAGTTGGGTGGGAGAGGGGTGGATTATCGTGGATAGGATGGTTGGGATTTCTGAGTAGGTGATACTTACACAAGGCCGAAAGATGAGAGCCAGCTTGGCTGGGGGCAAGAACATCCCAGCCAGAGGCATCAGCAAGTGCAAAGGTCCTGAGATGGGAATGAGGAAACAAGATAATGCTGTGTAACTGAAGAGTGGTGGGCTAGGGAGAGTTCTGAGATGAGATCTGGAACAGCAGGCAGGGGCAAGATCGTTCAGGGCCTTGTCGGCAGGCCACAGTAAGGAGTTTGGATTTTATTCTAAGTCCTCTTGGAGCATTTTAATAGGAAGCCATTAGGACACTCTAAGCAGTGATTTTTTTTTTTTAAATCATGCTGGCTATTGTGTAAAAAATTACTGGGAAGGGGACAAGAATGTAAGGAGGGGTGAAGCAACTTGAAAGTTCTTTTGGGTGAGCAGGTGAGAGGTGATGGTGGTTTGCACTGGGGGATGGAAGTGGAGATGGAGAGAAGTATTCAGATTCTGGACATATTTGGAGGTAGAGTCAACAGGGCTTGGATGTGTGGGGTGTGGAAGAGAGAGAGAAATTAAAGATTTTCCCTAGATGTTTGGTTTAAATAGCTGGTTGCTAAGGTGGGAACATTGAGAAAGGAACGGGATCATTTACTTTAATACCGGAATGGCCAAGAATGGTGACAGGCTAGTGGTAAAGTTAACAAACCTCTTCAAATGAGTGAGTGGGAGCGGCCAAGTATATCCGTAGGATACATTAATTCACCCAACAAAATGGAGCCCACAGAGTTAAGCACTCGACTACTAGCCAAAAGGTTGGAGGTTCCAACCCACCCAGAGGCGCCTTGAAGACAAGGCCTGGCAATCTGTTTCTGAAAGGTCACAGCCTTGAAAATCCTATTGAGCAGTTCTACTCTGCACACATGGGTCGCCATCAGTGGGAATCGACTTGATGGCAATTAACAACAGCTAGGTACCAGGCACTGTTCTAGGCTCTAGAAGTGGTATTGGTGGATCAATGTCACATTGTGTTGTTGTTGTCTCAACATAGATTACAACTGCCATTTGAGAATGGTCCATGCCTAATACTGCCTTTATCCCCACTGCCCCACCTCATCCAACATATTATTGAGCACAAACTAGCCCAATACATACTTGTTAATTGACTGAACCAAGTTATACTGACTAGATGTTAACAAAAACCAAAATCAAACTTGTTGCTGTTGAGTCGAATCTAACTCATAGTGACCCTTACGGGACAGAGTAGAACTGCCCCATAGGGTTTCCAAGGAGCAGCTGGTGGATTCGAACTGCTGACCTTTTTGGTTAGCAGCCGAGCTCTTAACCACTGCACCACCAGGGCACCAATAAATCAGTAGTCTAACATTATTAGTATCTCAGTATGGTAATCTGTATATTCCTAGTAAAAGTAAGGCGATATGAAAGCATGGAAGTGGTAGACATATTTTTATTAACTTCACCTATAATTTCCTAAGAATCACCTAAAAAGCAAAGCTTGTTTATTTTAAAGGTAGTATAAAAATACTTCAAGAAAAAAAAGGTCAAGATGTCACATCTTCGAAATTTAAAATATAGTTCAGAAATTTTACATGAAGATGTTTCAGGTTTATGATCATTTAAATCTAATTTCTATTATTTTTAATCTAATTTCTATGATAAAGTCTGGGAAATGCCAAATCACAAATTGCTTTATTCTTGGAGCTTTCCTTTTTCTCATATTACTGTGACTATTTCAGCAGAAACACTAAGAAGTGGTGCAAAAAGTAGAATATTGACAGCAAAAAAGCCACCTTCGTGCTCCTGCTGCTGTCCTAAGCTTTCTTCCACAGCCTAGGATGACCAGTCCATCTTGATATCACAGCCTTTAAGTTCCACAGATAACTAAAAGACAAACACAAGTCAACCTACTTATGCTTTCTATTTGAGTGTAACGAATCTAACATACCATAACGTCAGTATCTTCGTGGTTCCAAAAGGAAAAACATACCTAAAGGACTCAGAAGTCCTAGAAGAAAACTTTAAAGTATTTTTCTCAAGCAATTGTTCCCTGTGATAACTGGTGTCCAAGAATTTAGGCAATTTGCAATATCAATTTGTGATTTTAGAAAGGAATAACTTCAGTATTTTCTATCAGTGAAGGAGTTTACGTGGAGAGATAGAAACGGCGCGGGTCATGTAAGTGAACTGTGGTAAGAAGCAAAAGCCATTTGAGCAACGAATTGAAGTGACTGTCCAAAAAAGGGCATTCAGTTTGTATATGAAAGAGACTCAATAAGGAAAAAACAATAACTCACAATATCTTGGTGCTAACCCTCCAAGTAAATGTTACATATTCATAAAGGGCAAATTTGATAAGCCACCTTCTACTGTTCTCCATCAGGGCTTTATTCAAATTAATTGTGAGCGTTTCTCTGCATTACAGTTAAATGTTTGGTTTACTTTTAAAAACAGTATTTCCATCATTATTTGTGAAAGGTGTAATCAGAATATTAACTAATTCCTACCTTCTCTCCAAGCCCCAGAAATCAGCAAATAACTTGCATCAGGAAAACAGATTCCACTCTGAAGAGGAAGAGGCCGTGGCTTCCAAATGGACAGGACCTGGCTGCTCAGGGCTTCAAGATGAGCCCAGAGTTACCATCACTTGAGAAGGGAGGGAAGGAAAACAGAGATACTGGAACAAATTGTTCCAGTTTTTGTCATCTCACGCTTCTTTGTAGGAAGCAGTTAACGATTCCAAATGTTTTATCAATGTTGGCAGGACCAGTAATATTTTAATCTTCTAACATGTTTCAAGTTTGTTCCTATGCAAGGTACTTGTAGACTCATTGAGAGCAGACCATTTAAGCATCAAAAGGCACCCCTGAAGCCACTTCCGGTTCACGCATTCAGAGTTGAAGATATTATTTTATACTTTCTGCAAATTGTTTAGGCTTAAAATACCTACATCTTAGAAATTCTGTCAGCTAATTGTTGAGCATGGCTGTGCTTAACACCCACTCCTATATTTTCCCTTGGATAATGTGTTGTTGTCCCATGGGGCAGTTCTACTCTGTCCTACAGGGTCACTATAAGTCAGAATCGACTCGATGGCAACTGTTTTTTTTTTTGTTTTTATAAGAGAACATTTATGAAGAAGATATTGACTAATTGTTTATATTTGGGAGGGAGTGATGGGTAGTTTAGCTTGTTTTTGAGCTGGTATGTATAATGTAAATCTTGCACGTACAACCTTTTATTGAAGTAACACCCTGAGCAACTCTACAAAGTCCCTATCATTTGCTCTGGTGTGGTTTCTGCTTTTGTTAAAATAAAAACACCCATCTATGATTGCATGTACTATGCCTTTCTTCTATTTACCTTCATACGAGTTTGTTGTATGTTTTTAAATTACATTTCAATAGATCTTTCAATTTTTTTTTTTAAAAAGTGTTGCCTCACAGTAAATCCCGTTTACAGGACCAATAAAACCTGATTACTTAGTAAGCATACAAGTGTGTAAAGTGCGTCATGACTTCATTAATTCCTGTTATTTACCAATACCACCTCATAAATTATTTACTTTACAGCTATTTGTAACTTTCACTTCCAGTGAAAAGAGCCTGAGTATTTGATAAATGAGTGAGCAGAGGAAAGAGGTCGGAATATGGGGCAACATCCTTCAGAGCTGAAACTCGCCACAGCCGCACACGTGTACACTCAGAGGAGCAACGTGCCCGCCTGCCAGCATCGGCAATGCTTTGTTGTTTTACACAACACAGACTAAAAAATAGTGAACATTTACTACGTTCTTACAAACTGCCTCTCCCCAAGCAATAGTAATGTAATGGCTCACTAAGCATTACTAAGCAATGGCTAGTATCTGAAACAACAGACTAAGTTGTGTATTGTCTTCGGACAGTTTCTGGATTTTCAAAATTACACATTTCAATGTAAATAATGAAGCTGGCCCCCTTCTCACGATCCTAGAGCTAATTTAAATCTGTAGAGTTATCCGTCCCAACAGTTGTGTGCAGAAGGTAGGCATTCTTTTCCTTTCATTTCGAAAACCAGTTCTCTAATAAAGTGTTTAAATGCTGCTGGCTTAGCCTTAAAGGCAACATCATTTTGGTTTGCAATTTTTCTGTATGTAACTTTCTTCACCTCTTTTATTAAATCATCCCTGGTGGAAATTCTGAAGATTTTAAGAAATCCCAGCGATCAACCAAAAACTTTTTACAACAAAAACTGGCTTGAAGTAACAGGAACTCTTTCCTGTCCCAAGAGAGTAATGATTACACTTTAAGACACTATAATGAAAAGCAGCAATGCAGTTTATTTTAATGCTTCTGAGACTAACATCTGAATTCTACATCAGAAGTAAATTCACCAATACTGAATTTGGAAAGCACAATCAAGACCCCAAATTCCACTGGGACTACACAACTTAGCACTGTACGAGGCGCTGTGATTCTAAAACAAAACAGAAAACTGAAGCAAGCAATACAAAAGAAGTTCTTTAACTTCAGGGGACCCGTGAACCTTAGACTGTACACAAGAACTTGTGTAATATGTGTGTGTGCGTGTATTTTTTCTGGGGAAAGTTTCCATAACTAATCAAATTCTAAAGGGGCCCCCCAAGGTTAAGAAACAGTACACAACAGAATCCTAATTTCCCTCTACATTTTCAACAATAATGGAAACTGCGGAAATTCATTTCTGTACATCTAAATTTTAATGGAAAGAGGCAGAAAAGAAAACAATCAAGAACTGGGCGGGGAAAAACTCCAAAAGTGTTATTTATGAGTTTAGTAACATTTTCTGGTTTAGAGAAGGGAAGGGCGGGCAGAAGTGGTAACATAAACTGGAAGCAGGGAGACTCCTAAGGGATTTGCAAGTCCTTAGAAACATTAAACTTTAATATGAATAAAGCAATAACATGAACTTAAAATGCAATGTAACTCAAGTCCAATTTTCTGTTTCTGCATATTATCAACTTATTTTTATTTCTGAATATCACAAACTTCAGTCAGAATACTTTCAAAAATATTATTCTGCATGCATTTAACAAATCTGACAAAAGGACAAGTATCCAGTTTACTTGCATTATGACTATGAACTTTTAAATGAACCAATGAACACATATTTAAAATTATCAGGTACAGATAACAATGAAAACATCAATGCATTAATCTGATGGCATCCTACCACTATGCACATGTTCATGTAATACTACTAATAATTACTCTGAAGCAGAGGCAAATGTAGACCAAGGACTCTCAGAAAAAAGCAAGTTGAAGGGATTACATATCCTCATCATCATCATCACTACTGAGGACAAAGCTGCTGCCTGTGGACAGGGGCTCTTCTTCTTGAAGATTCCCAAAACAACCCACAGTGCCCCTCTCATTAGACTCTAACAACTTGTCACTGGAATCCTCATCGAACAACTTGTCGGAACTGTCATCTTCCAACAACTTTTCAACGATCTCTTCCTTTTTGTCTGAATCTTCAAACAGCTTTTCCTCTGCCTCATCCTCCTCTTCGTCAGCATCTTCGAGCCCCTTTTCATCTGCGTTTCCTTCATCCTCTTTCTCATCTGACTCACCATCAAATACTGTTTCATCTGCATCTTCCTCCTCTTCCTTTTCATCTGAATCTTCTTCAAACTCTCTCTCGGAACCTTCCTCATCAAACACTTTTTCAGAGCCATCATCTTCACATTCGGATTTTTCAGAGTCTTCTAACTCTTTTTCAAGAAGATTTTCAAACTCTTTTTCAGAGTCATCCTCATCACTTTCTTTTTCAAGGCCATTTTCTTCGAATTCGTTTTCAGAGCCATCTTCACACTGTTTTTCAGAGCATTCTTCTTCAGAATCCTTTTCAGGGCTGTCCTCTTTAGACTCCTTCTCAAGGCCATTCTCTTCAGAATCTCTTTGGAGCGTCTTCTGTTTAGGTTCGCTTTCAGCGCCATTCTCTTCAGACTCTTTTCCAGGACTGCCCTCCTCAGGCCCCCGTTCACGGCAGCCTCCCTCAGACCCTCTCTTGGACCAGCCTTCTTCAGACCCTTCTTTTTCAGAAGACTCGTCTTCACATTCTCCCCCATCTTCTGGTTTTTCAAACTTCTTTTCATTTACGGGCGCTTCAAACGTCATTTCAGCTGCGGCTTCTGGAGCATTCATTCGCGATGTGCCAGGGTGCTCTGAAAAATGCCTTACTCTAGAAGGCCCTGCTCTTTCTGAAGCACTGGCAAGATTTGAACGCCGAAAGCCTCTGCTGGCCTCGGACTCACTGAGGAAAGCCTCCCATCCTTTCAGCCTTTCCTCTCTTTCTCTTGTGGTCTCCTCCACCTGTGCATAAATGAACACTGCCATTAAAATAAGGTTCAGGCAAAAAGAAATTAACAACTGTTTCTGAGCATTTCTAATATTGAGGACAGTACCCTGATTTTATCAGGCATCTCTTCTTAGGACATCAAAATAATTCCCTATCTTTAGCTTTCAAAACTTTACATCTTGATTTACTAGACTTGACCTAAGATCATTTAAATAAATGCCAAACACCAAAGAACTGCAGAAACATCTCATTTCCTAAACGTTAATATCTGAGCTCTGTTTGTACTTTACAACACAGAAAGGAAGATAAATGTTTTGGTTCAATATGTTCTTTTCTTTACTTATCACTAATCTGAACAAGCCTCAAAATTTCAGATATGTAAACTGAAAGATGAAAACATTTTTCTTTCTAGCCTCTGAATGCAAGGTATTATTTAAAATAAGTATTGTTACATTAAACAGATTAAACCGAACCCAAAACTTAACTCTGAAGGCCGGTTAGATCAGTATTCATTGGTAATGAAATAATTCATACGCCCTCGGCAGTTACAGAATTTACCTGATAATCTGTAGTCCCATCCCATGCTTCGGCAGTGATCTGACGGCCACCAAACCACCTTCCATCAAGGGTTTGAATGCAATAATCAGCTTCCTCTGGATCCCTGAAGGACACAGAGGCCACACCATCTGGATGTCTCTAGAAAGACAAGGGAGAAAAAAACAGGAATAAATGGTAAGATTAAAAATAAAACACACACATTTGAAAAAGTAGATAAAGTCACATTCTTTCTAATAACTTGAGCTAAAAGACTTTATGTACGAAGTCTTTCCTCCCTTTTACCCCAGACACATAGCTAGCTACTTCTTTAGCTTAATCTTGTCCAGCAGGAACCAAACACAATGTCCTTGGAAATGTTTCTGCTGACAACATTGTCTGAGAGGCAGGACAATATAATTGTTGAGAGTGTGGACTCTGAAGTCAGATAGCCTTGGGATGAAATCCTGGCTCTGCCACTTATCAGCTGAATGATATTGGGCAAGGTGTTTAACCTCTGAAGTTTCAGCTTCCTCATCTGTAAAATGGGTTTAATAGTACCTACCTACCTCAAAGAGTTGTGAGGATTAAACAAGATAACGTGTAAAATAGCTTATAGTATGCAACCAATAAACATGGGCTCTTTTCATTATTATGTGCCAATTTCAGAAGTAAAAAAAGAGTGATTAGGGGAATATACAGAATATTTTTCCTGATTTTCTCCAAATATGGAGAGCAATTCACAAAAGAGGGGAAAATATGGGCCAACAGGGAACCATACATCTCCTGTTTTTCTTGTACTTTCTTCTACCTGATCAAGTACTCTCAGGGGCGGACTACTCACCAGGCAAGGTAAACACCATGTTTACTCTGTTCACCATACAGATTAGTAAGTAAGCACAAGTAAGCCCATGCTTACCTTGCTTACTAGGTTATCTGCCCCTGTCAGGGATTGTAAATTTGAAAAGAGGCTTTGATTCCATAGGAAGGTGCTGTGGGGTTGGGATAGAGACAGATGCCAGCCATACCTAGAAGCAGAGTCTTTTATGTGGTGCTCACCCTGCCTATTGGATAAGCTACCCGAGTACTCTACAGTGGTGATGAAGGCAAATCATCAAGGCATGCTACGTCTATCATGATCATCTAATTATTGCTAACAGGTGATTACCACTAGCGAGCAGACCTACTATACAAAAACATCAATTTAAAATTTAGGGACACACGAATGAACGTCTGGCAATAACTTACTAAGCTGAAAGAATGATTGCATTGGGATTAATCTGTCCAAGCCATGAACTTACATCAAAGAGAATGAGCTTCTTAATTTGGCCAAACTTTGAACACTCTACTCGAAGGTCTTCTCTTATTTCATTTAACACCAAGGGATCATCCTGCAAAAGTACACATGATTAAAATGGGTTGGCCCCTCCCTTTCAGTGGAAGTCCCGAGAATCCATTTTCTTGCTTTGACAAACCGACAAACAAAAACGGTTTCACTTAAAGTTAGTCATGCGTGTCGGCAGTGTACAAGATAAAAAAAAATTTCAAAATCAAATGGAATTATACCACCAGGGCTGCTTTTAAGATAGAGGAGCTGGACAGGTGTGGCAGGAGTCTGCAGGGGCAAAGGAGAAGGGAGGGAAGCATGAATGGAATTCCCAAATAACAGCAGCTGTGAGGGCAGGAAAAGTGCTGTGGCACATCCAAGTCAGAGACTGCTTAGTCCTGTGACCTGCTCGTGAATCATGACTGTGCTGATGAGGGCCCTCTGCTCTGTGTTTGGGCTAGACATTTAAAGAAACGTAATGGGCAGGAATAGATCCCTTCACTGACTATGTGTTCTAAGATGATTTTTCATACTTCTAAGATTTTATTTTAATTCATAGGGTTCTTGTCTCCTACCATATCACAAGAACAGAACCACACAAATAAGGAGCTTTTAAAGTACACAAGAAAAATACATTCTTAGGTGCTACTTTCTCACAGGTATGAGTGTATTAAGGACACTCAAACAATGCTGCTTCTAGTGGCCTTGACTTCAGGTGGACCCCCCCCAGCCCCTCCCCCTACCCACAACAAAAGGATTTAAAATGCCCTGTGGGAATTAGCAAGCAAATCTTTCTCCAAGTCCCGATTCATGAAACAGACTCATAAAAAGTTACATTATCAACTTGAATTTCAACTATACACAAAAAGAAATGAAGTCATCCCATCTAAGAACTGCTACTGAAGTGGACTTAACTCTTTTTAGGAGACATTTAAATTCATCTGCCTTTCTCACAGGCTTTTTTCCCCTCTCTCACCAACTAAAGAGGAACTGCAAAGAACTACGACAAAGGAGTTCCCCCCTCAAAGTTCTTGGCTAAACAGTTACTGAAATCAAATTAAAAAACAAAAATATAAAATCCTATCATCTGCATGAACCTGAGGCTTCTAAAACTATAGCCAGCAGGACTCTGGATTTTCCCCACTCACAAAATCTAATTTTGGAGAAGACATCAATTTGTTTTGTATAGAATTATCAGACAAGAGAGGAATGGAAAATGGAACCTAAAAGTCATTTGGTGTTTTCTTTTTTGAGGGGGCGTGTGGTTTCAGAGGGCAGGAATCTTGTTTTGCTCAGTTTCATATACCTCCCAGAACACAGCACAGTCTTTTACACATAGCAAACAGTTAATAAAAGCTTTTTCAGAGTTTGACAAACTATCGCTAATACCTCTATTTCAGTCACCAAGGGAAATCAGAATTATATTAAAAACAAAAATTATTTCAAAAAATTTAATAAATTTTAAATTTAAGCATGATTCCATTGTGGGGTAGCTCCCTTATTTCTATACCAAAGTGTCAGTGCTTTTCCTACAAGGGTATCAAACCTTAGCCAACATCTTCCCAGGCCTCCATTTTCATCTACGCCAGCTTGAAAAAGGAATAGATCGTCACCGCTGTATAAAGACCTGACGCTTAAAGTTAAGGTAATAAGCCCCTCCTTTATGAAGATTCTTTGACCAAGCTCAGCACAGACCTTTTCTAAAGACACAACTTTGCAAACAACAGACCTGAGACAAAGAGCAGACGCCTTGAATGAACGTTTGTTTCACTGATGCGCTGAAACCCTCTGCTTGGAGTTTTTTCCCAGGGTGGTGCTTTGTTTATTTTCCCTGGAGGAAATAAACCTTCTCTCTCATTCTTTCTAATCAAAACCTGCACTGTCCAATATGGTGGCCACTAGCCACCTGCGGCTATTGAGCAGTTGGAATGTGGCTAGCCCAAACAGAGGTGTGCTCTAGGTGTAAAATACACAGCAGATTTCAAAGACTTAGTACAAAAAGCATGTAAAATATTTCATTAATATTTTTACACTGATTGCACGTTGAAATGGTATGCTGGGCATAATGGGTTAAATAAAATTCACTGAAATTAATTTCACCTGTCTCACGTTACATTTGTGATTGTGGCTACCAGAAGATTTTAAATTGCACACGTGGCTCGCATTATATTTCTACTGAACAGCACTGGTACACACAATGAGTTGCCTACTTTTGCGTCTGAGTTTAGATTCTTCATCTCTTGGTATTCAAATTTGTCATTTAAAAACATGGCTCCAAATTAAACACCAAAGAACTCTCTTGAAGCTACATTAAAAATATTAGCCTTCACTGTTCACCCTGATGCCAAAAAGTGTTTTTAGGTATGTTGCTTCTAACGTTAGTCAACTATTTGGAATAAAAATATACTCCACCCTCTAAAACCTGATTTCTTTCTGATACCCCCAGGTAACCTGATAATTCACTTTTTATTTGTTTTCCACAAAAAATCTCTGATGGAGTCTTCAAATTAAACACTCTCCAAAAAAGTCCAATGAACGCAGATGTTCCTGTTGAATACTTCTATAAAAAGTTACATAACGTCTAGTCTACACCAGTGCTGTCCAAGAGAACTTTCTGCGATGATGGAAACATTGTATATCTGCATCATCCAATATGGTAGCCATTCTAATTAATATAACATTTAAATAACCACACGTGGCTGGGAACTACCATGTTGGACAGCACACTTTGAGCATACTGATACACTCTGAGGTTGAAGCCACAAAGACACCGAGAAAATAACAAGACTGTCTGTAGTCCCTCTTGTTAACAGGCTCTCATCAAGCTAATTGGACCACATGAAACCAGGCAGATGGGCAAACAAGGATAGTACCACCAAGGATTTCTTTGGCTGTCATTTCTCAAACTCATCACTCCCAGATAGAGTGCCCTCCCATCCTTTGTGGCCTAAGTGTCTGGAAAAAAAAAAAAACACAAAAGAACTTTCCTTCATTTGCAAAGATGCTAAAGAGAAAATGTTTTATCCACTGGGTGAAAGAAAGACTTTGGCTTGTTGAGTAACAGGGCTTTCATTCAACCATTCTGTCACTTTTTTCTTCATGTAAGTATCGAGGGTCTGTTAATAAATATATATTGAGGGTCTACTATGGGCCAGGCACAATTCTAAGCACTGGGAATATAGCAGTGATCAAGGTAGACAAAGCACTTGCTCTCATGAAACTCACATTCTAGTAGTGATAAAATTATTTCCGATAATAATAAACACTATGAAGGAAATAAAACAGAGTAACATAAAGGCTCTATAACCTTGAAGTAAAGTTAACACTAAATCAATAAGGGTTTTTTTAAAACAATTGGGAATTTGCAAGTGTGAAACTTCTATCCTCAAAAATATTCACTGGAGGGAACTTGGAGGGGTAAAAGTAGAATAAATGTGGCTTTTCGGGGGACAGAATATTTGTTAAACCAGGAGAAGCTAAGCTTGTTCAGGGTAATCAAAAAAAACCCACTGCCGTTGAGTCGATTCTGACTCACAGTGACCCCCACAGGGTTTTCAAGGCTGTAAATCTCCATGGAAGCAGATTGCCACATCCTTCTCCTGCGGAGCCACTGGTGGTTTCAAACCGCTGACCTTTCGGTTAACAGTCAAGTGCTTTAACCACTGCGCCACCAGGGTGATAGCTAGACTCAAACAAGGTTGCACTGGTGTATCCAGGGTACTGCACTGGCCCTGGGTGCGTGGCGCCACTGAGCAGTTTCCATTAACCCAGTACAGCTCAACGTCCTTCCTCAAGCATGGTAATGTGTTAATTAAAAGATTACCCATCTTTGACTTGAATTTTAGAGCTGATATTATGATGTTATGTAAAAGAGGGACGTCAGATGTTTGGACAGGGGTGCAATTTCAGTGCTTGCCATTGGCGCCATTTCCTGCAGATACGCTGCTGGCGGTACCGGGTGAAAAGAACTGCTCGGTGGCGCCAGGGCCGGGCCAGCGCAATACCTACCATACCTGCCATACTGTAGTTACACTTCTGAGCATGTCAATGACAAGGCAGGAGGTAAAAACAAGAATAGCTATAATTACATGTCAGACTTCTATCTGCAGAGGTCCCGATGCTTTGAATTAAGTCTGTTTATATTCACGTTGAAGTGTTAGGAAGAGTATGGAATGTGTGAATTAAGGACCTCAAGTCACAGAAATATGTCACCTGATAAACAAATCACTTATTTACCAAAATGTGATAAATTGTAGAAAACCCTGAGGTTGTATCTGATAGACATACCATGATCCATCTACACATTCCTTTTAATGGCAAGGACAGTGTTTCAAAAATCAACTAGCGTGCGTATGTGTGTGTTTGTGTGTTTGAAACATGCTTTGTTATCGCTGTCAGTCTAAAATCGCTGCTATATTTCAAGATTCTTTAGGATTTCTGGCCAGAAGAGACACCAAGCAACCTTATAAACAGATCACATATATCTTCCCAACGACCTCAAAAGATGCCCAGACTCCAGAGGCGCACAGTAAACCCTATCACATCACTATTTGCCAGGATGGAGCTCAACAGACCATTCTGCCCCCCCGCCCCCTTGCTGTTGTTAGCTGCCATCAAGTGGGCTTTAACTCATGCGACCTTATAGCGTAAAAGAACGAAACACTGCTCAGTCCTGTGCCATCTCCATGATCTTCGATGTTTGAGCCCACTGGTGAGGCTATTGTGTCAATGCATCTCATTGAGAGTTTCCCTCGTTTTCGCTGACCCTCTACTTTACCAAACATGATGTCCTTCTCTAGCGACTGGTCTTTCCTGACGACGTGTCCAAAGTAAGCAAGATGAAGTCTCACAATCCTCGCTTCTAAGGAGCATTCCAGTTGTATTCTTCTAAGACTGACTTGTTCCCTCTCTAAGGGGGCTAAAATAATATTGCCATTTTGACCCTGTTTAAATGCATAAAAGGAACGAGAATGGGCTTTGGTTGTAACCAGATCACTTGTAAACCTGGAATTCTATATCATGAATATTTTTTTCTCATTATATAACTTGCTATCATTAAATTTCAGAATGCAGGCAGGAAATAAAAAATTGTTTTCCTACTAATGATCATATCATTTCAGTCTATGTCAAGACAGATAAGAAATAGAGGGCAGAATGCAATTACCTTAATGGAAATTAATATCCCTTAAGCCTCTCTAGTAGCTCTTTCTTTCTTTACTGTTCTTGAGAATTTTTACATAGACATTAAATATTATAAAATCCTCCTGAGAGCCACTGAAGATTGTTATAAAAGTTATGTCCTGAAAAACAACCCCCACTATGTAAACATCAGGGGCTGAATCTCATTAAACTAAGGTTTTTAAAGGATCAAACCTTTAGCACAGTTTTCATTATCAAGTGTGAGGCTGGTACTCACCACCAAAATCAGCCCATACTTGTTGAATTGCACTCAAAATCCACATGCAACTCCCATGAATCTTTTAATGACGATTTTTAAAACCTGATTTCCCATAGTAGGCAGCTGCTGTCGGGGCCACAGTGTGGGCATTAAACAGTTTTACCTAGGATGCAGCTAAAAGAACACGACTACGCTGGGCTAAACAAACGGAAATCCATTTCCCTGCCCTGACTACTACAGGGACACGCAGGCTGTGACATGAGGAAGACAGAGTGAGGCCAGCTTTAGGCTCCCTTCAAAGAAAACATCTCAGTGTTGCCACTGGTAAGAATACAGCTTCCTACCTCAAAATCCATAGGATGAAACATATTTTTGAGGATGACAACTCGCTCATGGCGCATTCGGGACAGTCCAGCTTTCCTCTCAGGTCTCCAATCCAACTGCCTAGTGCAAGAAAGCAATAACAAGAAACTGTGACTTTGGTTTCATATTTGCAGGTACTTACTGGAGAGAGAAAAAAATTGAGTTGTTAATATAATTCTTTATTATTTAATATGATAATGATCCAGTATCTGAAATCCTCAGAATATATTGCTTTTCCAAGCAACTGCTGTCCAATTACTGTCATTCCAGTGAGATTCCTGAAAAATGGATAATTACTTGGTATTTATGACTATTTAGAAAGATATACTTTGAGGCTAAAAAAAAGATTTTCAAATCGTATTGGGTTTTCGGCATTTTACATGGCTATAAAGAACAAACCACACTGAAATATGTGTGAAATATGAAAACACTCACTCTGTTATAATCTTAACCCTTACTGATATTATTGACAAAATTTGTAGGTATCATTTTAAGCACTCGTGTAAAAACTAAGGGGCATCACAACATTTTACGATCAGTTTAAGCATAGTGTTAGACGTGTTGTTAGAACTCACGCTGATAAAAGTACTCACCATTTTGGCTAATTTCTTAAAACTAGTATATTGAAAGTTTATTACACAAATCTGTCAATAATAGAAATGACTCCATTATGCATATACTATATACAACTACATAATAACTATAATGATAAAAACCTATCATTTCTAATTCCTACTAACAAAACTGTATACAAAAATTTAGCTAATGTAGTTGATTTCAATCCACACTGAAAACGAACTAATGAATCTGTATATAAAACTAAACTTTCTTATTTAATCTGATGTCCAGCATTTTCTAAAACGATGACCTCTCTTAAGTCCCTATCATATTACAAACAAACAGCCTAGAAAATGAAAAACACCACTGCTGCCAAGCCATATTACTTCAGTATACATTACCGAAGGCTCCTGATCATCTAATAAAACTCTTTTAAAATAATCTGTAGGCATATTTGATGAAGCAAAATTAGGTGGCTATTACCAAAAACATACTCCAGGACATTTTTACGAAACCTTTCAAAGAGGATGAAAACAATACACACTTTTGTTGCATAGACAGTTTCTTTCTGTAGTCTTTGCATTTCTTCTTCTTTTTTGAGGCATCGTATTCCCCCTTCAGTTGAAACCGTGCCACCTCGACATGTAATTTGTAGCCTCTAATTTCATCTTCATCCAAAAGTTTTAATGCAAGCTCCACAGATTCTCTCTTTATAAAGGTAAAACAAAATAGTCAATAAGTTATACTCTGAAACTTCAGGAGTTTTTTTAGATGAATCACGACCATACATACAATAAAGATTTAAATACAACTACCTACTTTGGGAAAAAGAACTCTCGAATAAATATCAGGAAACCTGCATTTGAGACATAGCTATCCCTAACCAGCTGAGGGAACTTGGGCAAGTTCTTCAAGCTCCCTGAGCCCCAGCTTCCTCATCTGTAAAATGGGAAGGGTAATGCCTTCATCACAGGGTTCTTGAGAGGACTGAATGGAATAATGCAGGTAAAAGATAAATCAAACCAAAAAAACCAAATCTGTTGCTGTCAAGTTGGTTCCGACTCACAGGGACCCTACAGGACACAGAGTAGAACTGCCCCATAGGGTTTCCAAGGAATGGCTGGTGGATTCAAACTGCCAACCTTTTGGTTAGCATCCAAATGCTGAACCACTGCACCACCAGGTAATGGATAGTGACTGGCATATGCTAGGTGCTCAATAAAATATTCTATTATTGGAAAAGTAACTTTGCCTCTTGGAGCCTCAATTTTTCATCTGAAGAGGCAAATGGGCTTGCGTGATTTCTAAGGCCCATTCCGGTCTTAAAAGCCTATAATACTCCTACTTAAAAGACAACATGACTCAAGGAACTTGGAATAGCATAGGCAGCCTTAATTTTTTTTTTTTAATTCACCAACTAAATTCTAGCTCAGCTCTGTACTATACTGAGAAGTAAAAGGTGATTATCTGATGGCTTGTATATTAAATACACTTGTAGATTCTGAATCCTATACAAAGGGGGCAGTTTTTGGCCCTACACAGAGCCCAAGCTTTGAGGACCTCGGGAACACACAAAAGGATAAATGAACTCAACTGCTCACATCAAATATGGATCCCGGAAGAGTAAAATATATTCTTTTGGAACTCAATTTACTGATTTGCTAATCTAGCATTTTTATGAATCCTAAATTGTACACATGAAATTTTTCAAAATCTCCTTTTCTTTAAAAAAAGTTTCAAATCCAGTCAAATCTCCTAAGAATCTGTTCACAGATTTTTAATAATCCTCGAAAAACGTGTAAAACTCCCATCTCCTTTAAATATTCCACAACTATCTTTCTATAATGGCCATGTCCATGTCCCATTCTCATCATGTTTGAGATCCAGATCAAAAATCCCTTATCTCCCAAAAAGCTGTCAGCTTAATCCTACTCTCTTCTGACTCCACTGGAATTTGGTATACTCACAACACACATACGGTGCCTGTACTGTTGTTTTATAATTCTGAGTTTACTCTGTAATGATTTCCAGGTTCTATGACATATGTGTATGTCAGCATCACGCCCATTTCTTTTGTACCCTGCAATAATGCATAACACATGCTCCTACGGTGACAGGTGTTCCAGAAATGACGACTGCCTTTGGCACTGAGCTTTCCCTGTGCAATTTATGGTACCATGAATACATGAAGACTGGCAAATTTCTGTTAATACCACTCTTTCTTCTCTCCTACTCTAAAAACAAGGCAAAGCAGTAAGCGTAAGGTAATATCTCCTTTATGGATTAATTCAGGGGTCAGCACACTTCTTTTGTAGAGAGCTAGTCAGTAAATATTCTAGGTTTTATGGACCATGTGGTCCATGTTGCAAATACTCAACTCTGCAGTTGAAGCATGAAAACAGCCATAGACAAATGCATAAATGAATGAGTGTGGTTGTGTTCCGAAAAAACATTTATTTACAAAAACAGGCAGTGGGAAAGAGTTTGCTGAACCCTGCTCTAATCCATTCCAATGGGCAAATAAAATGCTATAGCCTTGTTTGTTTTGGGACTTTTAAAATGTGTTCTGAATTGATTATATCTCATGTAACATATGTAACACTTTGATCTAACGAACAAACCTTACCAATGTGATATACACAGATACAAGCTGAAACTTCCATTTTCTTCATACCCTGCTTTGAATAGTTCTCGGTCTGGTTATCATCTATAAAAGATTACAGCCTTGGTTCCTGGGTGGTGCAAATGGTTAACATGCTCAACTGCTAACAGAAAGGCTGGAGGTTTGAGTCCATCCAGAGGCACCTTGGAAGAAAGGCTTGGTGATCTACTTCTGAAAAATCAGCCACTGAAAACACTATGGAGCACAGTTCTAGTCTGCTACACACTGGGTGGCTAAGAGTTAAGAGTCGATTCAGTAGCAACTTGTTTTGGTTCCTGAGTTAAAAATGGAGCTATGAGAAACTCATTTGACCATATAACCAACCTTCAAATAACAGCAAAGCCCATCTCCTTTAAGATTTCCTTGACTATCTTTGTAAAGCTTGACCTTAAATTCTTCTGTTTGAGGATCTCTCATAATAATGCCAAATTTAGACATGAGCTGGATAAATTCATCCACTGTAATGTCTGGAGGCAAACCTGTAACATTAAAAAAATAAACTTTTATGATGGCATCTACAATAAGGGTGAGATTACCAATGACAAATATACGACCTAGGTTGAATGCAATTTTGATTTTCTAAATGTTATGTAAAACTCTCACATCTATAGAATTGAGAAAATTTCACCATTGTCATGTATTCAAATATACATTAAAAATTATGCTTTGCTTAGGCCTCGTTTCACTGAACCCGAAGCAGCAAGCTGCCGTAAATTATTGAAAGCAAGCAGAAAGGACGGCGTGCAAAGTTACATACACTTTTCTTAGTACTACAATAAACAACGATCACATTCCTCACGAATGGACACAGCTGAATAGAAAGTTGTAATGACACAACGATAAAAAATGGACTTTACAGACACTAATAACTAAAAATCACTGCGAAAAATCTCAAAATCCAATATTTTTCTACACTAAATTTGTTTAAAAAAGTATACGTACCAGACACATATACATTTGTATTTCTGTCTTCTTCAACATGAAACCATCCTAAAGAACAAAACAAAATAAATAAGTAAAACACATGCAAGGAAAAATAAATCACATTATGAAATCTTGACAATACGGCAGTTTGTTGAAACTTTCAGGAACTTTCTCTTACCTTAGAAGAACAAAACAAACTAACTGAAATCACTGCCCAGCTTTCAAAGTATTTGAGTCTTTTGACAGATAATTAGTTTTTACAAGCTAGAACCACTTGCCTGATTCCGCCTTTCTTTTTTCTCCCTTCTTTTTGGGCTCAGTGGGCTCGGGGGGTTTTCTCTGCGGAGGTTCCCCTGCATTACCAGCACTGACATCTTGGGCGTTTGCAGTAGAGCTGGACGCTCCATCATTAGAGAAGCCATAATTGGCCTGATACGTAGCAATGAAATCTTCAGTGATCTAAATAAGAAATTCAGCACACATACAGAAATTCAAGTTCATTTTTTCCCATAAGAAGTGTCAACTGTGTAAAATTACAGCATATTCAGTTATACAAATTAACATAGAAGTGTTTCCGTGGGCAACAGTTGTAGTAATTAGAGGGTAAATGCAAGATTCCAAAAAAACCAAACCCGTTGCCATGAAGTCGATTCTGACTCATAGTCACCCTATAGGACATAGCAGAACTACCCCATAGGGTTTCCAAGGCTGTAATCTTTAAGGAAGCAGACTGCCACATCTTTCTCCCACACAGTGGCTGGTGGGTTCAAACTGCCAACCTTTCAGGTAGCAGCCGAACACTTAACCACTTCTCCACCAGGGCTCCTTAATGCAAGATTAGTCACCTTACACAGTAAACTGTGCCTGAAATGATAAAAAAATAAGAGACACAGGTACTTGGATTATTAACACGAAAGTCTGAGATACTATTAAGGCATTTTAAAGTGACGTTGGCACCTTTTCTAGTTGTTTCATTTATAAATTACTACCTCTCTACGTTCTACTTGAATTTAAGACTGTAAGTAGGCACAACGCAGTAACAGTTAACAGTAAAACGGAATAAAACCAATAGTCAAGTGGAAACACTGTATACAAATATACAGATAATCTAACAGAATCAATTTTTCTTTTACTCTACAGACACACAAATGTATATGTACACCAAATACTTAAGTATCTGTACACAGAGAGCACACAGAATGGAATCTTGATTTAGTGTACAGAGAATGGGGCGAACAATTGTAAAACTAAGTGTTCATTTTAACTCTATCACTAATTAAATCACATGATCGTTTAGTGTCAAAACAAACCCAACTCACATCTATCTACCTGACTTTTAGGGAAAAGCAGTACTGCACAACGAAAAAATGCAGTTATATCTTCATACCAATCGATCATTAGGCATACATAGGAACAGGGAAACTTACAACTCAAAGCTTGAGAAAGTATGGGCTTCCATAGTATAAAAAAGATAGTCACAGAGTAATCCATTCTGAGACTACTGTTAAAAGCGCTCAGAAGGCAGAAGAAAACAAATTTGTACTCCAGCTGGCACTACCAGTACAGGAGTGAAATAGTAAATCTTAACAATTTGGAAGGATTAAAATATACAAATACAAAATGGGGAAGAAAAAAGTTGAAATAAATAGTGTTTTAAATAACAGTCAAGTTACACCATGGAGATACATTTTTTATTACTGGCTTGCAAGTCAATTAGTGTGCTACTATATCCTTTTCTCCCCCCACCGCCATCCACATGAGACTTAGAGTAGGAGGGTACTTTTACCGCCATGCTTACTGAATCAAGTTAACACTAGTTATTTTACTTCCAAGCTGAAATAAAATATCTAACGTTTTTCAAGTACTTCAAACAAATATACACAGAACTTTTCCATCCACATTTGTGCACCTCTAGTCATATTCCTGTGCTTGTATGGTTCAAACACACGTCTACGTACATAATTTAGTAGGAAAGAAGAGAGTGGCGCAAAGTTTATCCAGTAAAGATACATGAAGGGCTACTTTTTTATTCATCAAGAAGACGCATTTTGCACATCGTACATAAACTAAAACTGAATTACCAGCATAAGTGAGGTTGGCTACCTGAGATCAACAGCTACTTAATTTGTTCATGGTGTTTTTCCTCTTTGCAGTAAACAGCTGTCACTAATGTAATAACCAACTGTGACCTTCACAGATAAAATTAATAAGGCATAAAAAAGACTTAAGAATTACATTTGGGACATCTCCCTAAAGATTTATGCTCCTTTACACATCCATTCATCTATAGGGTGGCTGTGAGATGAACCCGTGCATAAAGAACATAAATCTTCAGGAAGATATTGCAAATGTAATTCTTAAGTCTTTTCTGTGCCTTATTAATTTTAATCTGTGACGGTTACAGTTGGTTATTACATTAGTGACTGCTTTTTATTGCAAAGAAGAAAAACACCACGAACAAATTAAGTAGCTGTTGCTCTCAGGGAGCCAATCTCACTTATCCTGGGAATTCAGAGTTTTAGTTTATGTACGATGTGCAAAATTCATCTTGATTAATAAAAAAAAGTAGCCCTTCATGTATCTTTACTGAATGAACTTTGCGCCACTCTTCTCTTTCCTACTAAACTTTGTACCTAGGCATACAAGGTCGCTATGAGTCGGAATCTACTATACGGCAACGGGTCTTACACATCGGTTCTGCAAAAGACACAACAAAAAGAAACGTCTCTATCCATGGAACTCTAACCCATGATCTCAGCAGAGAAAACGTAAAAGGAGTGTCCCGTAGGTTGGCCAGGCGGGCCCGCTCTGCAGTGGCACCCATGTCACTCTTACCTTGGGGAACCAAGCCTTCTTGTCTAGATCCCACTCGTAGGGGGTGTCAGCCGGCTGTTGCTCCAAAGAATCGGCTTCTCCGCCGGGATCTTCCTGGGGGTCACCGTCCTTGGGGTCTCCGTACAATTCTTGCATCCGCAACTGCTCATCAAACTCATCGTTCGCATTCAAGTTATTGCCGCTCATGTTTCCGACCTAGCCCCGGGGTAAGGTCCGGGCGAGCAAAGAGGCCCAGATGACGCTGGAGGGGCACAGAGACAGCGAGGTCCGCGCGGCCGCCGCGCCCCCGGCCCGCCTCCC